CAAGCTGTTGTTCTATGACTTAGATTCAGTTGATAAACGCCTTGCTGGTGAGCAGGTTTTGCCTCTGTATACAGGTTCTATTTATGCCAAGAGGCTCTGTCTCACATGCTCTCCTTGATTTTGACTCTGCAAATAGTACTGTCAGTCTGGGCTTAAGGGTTTGTTTCCACAACAAGAAGTAACGCCTGAGTGACTATCTGTGGTTCTTTGGCCACGCACACACTACTCAGCAGACCTCCTGCATGCTCCCATTATGGCAAGACTCTGGCCTTCTGTCTCCACCATCTGGTTTGATAGACAGCTTCCTTGACTATTCTGGTAACCAAACGGACTGTCTGGAATGATTCAAATGCCTTGCTTCCTCTTTGAGTCTCAACTCATTCCATTTTCAGAATACTTGCAATGACAGACACATACACTGATCACACGTTTTGCTTGGACTTTTGCATGCCTTTTCTCACAGCTTGCAACTCATTTCCAGATATGTGTTGTTATTTCCACCATTCTCTCCAGGAGTAAACTGGCAAAAATTAGTAAGAGGACAGACAGCTGGAAATACCTTGATTTGATGCAAGTTCTATTTCGTCAGGGACCACACTGCCATCATTTGCCATAATTTGTGGTTTCTTCAGTTCTTGAGTCCCTAGTAGCATTGTATTTTAACAGAACTGGGATCATTTTCCAAAATTAAGGAGTCATATATTCTCTCCCATCGCCCTCCAACCCTCTATTGTGTTGAAAGAAGCTTGTGGAGATGAAAATGATACCCTACGCTCTCCCACAAGCCCTCTCCCCATTCAGCACCTCCCTACCCCCATTCTGATTTTCTCCTTAGTGTTGATCATAAGTTTTAACCATTCCCTTTAGGGAATTTACCTGATAATACTTTATTCCTTTCCATATATAACCTAAAGACTATTTAACTATAATCTTCTTTGCATGGAGCCTAATTTGATATTGGAAAAAAATACTAAAACTTTGAAAATAAGTGGCGTATTCCATGTTCTCTCACAGTCAGGTGGGCGTTATTTAAAAATCCTTCCCAGGAAGGAGTATTTGATTCCAAACATTGCCTTTATTTAACTTTGCTGTTTGTGATTTGGTTAGAGTCTAGATGCTATGAAGTTCTATGTTAACTTGTAGACTTTATTTTCATGATAGAAAATAAATTCAAATATTATATTTTGTTCTTTTTTTTTTTTTGGTATGTGTAAAGCAATGGGTCCCCTAACAGATGCTTAGGAGGCGGCCCAGGGATCCATCTCAAATCCATCTCAACAATTCTTGGACAACAGGACATCAGTTCAAGGCAAGGCTCCTAGGATATGGTGCTTCTCGGGCCCTGCAGTGCCTGAGACATTTGTGGGATACTGTGATGCCTGGAATCGAACCAATGTTAGCTGAATGTAAGGCATGGACCTTAAACTCTATCCTATATTTTCAGATCCACTTTCATTTTTCTTAAACTTTTTTTTCCAAAGGCCTACATAAACACATTTCACGTAAGTACTGTGAGCACTGGGCCAGAGAGAGGGCACAGCAGGTAGGGCATTTGACTTGCATGTGGCTGACCCAGGTTCGTTTCCTCCATCCCTCTCAGAGAGCCCGGAAAGCTGATGAGAGCATACCACTCTCAAGGCAAAGCCTGGCAAGCTCCCCGTGGCATATTCGATATGCCAAAAATTGAAACAAGAATTCTCACAATGGAGATGTTACTGGTGCCTGCTCAAGCAAATCGATGAACAACAGGAGGACAGTGCTAGAGTACAGTGCTACTGTGAGCACTATCTTTACCATTTTATTGGTCCTTTCATTAATTTGTGTGTTGATTAGAATATTTGAGTTACTTTCATTACATATTTGCATGGCCATATTTTTGCTATTGGAAATTTAAATTTTGACCATGGTCACTTTAACATACTTTAATGTCTCATTTATTTTTTCAGACATTTAACAATCTAATTTTATACATATTTCCTGGTGTCAGTTCTTAGATACTACATTTGAGTATTTAGAATTAAGCTGTGACCAAGACTAAATCCCAGATGTTATGAAATAAAGATGGGAGAATATGACCTGGGGGACAATATAAAATGTTGGGAATTCTTATTTAATTCTTCTTATGGGTGCATGCATAATTGGTGCATAAATATCACCTTGGAAACTTAATAAACATGCAATTTCCAAGGTGGCAATCATGGGTATTCTCAGTCTTTTATGGGAGCCAGTTATCACCATTTCAGTACGCACTTCAGACAATTCATATATGCTTGGTCTTGAGAATATATTTAGATTGAAAGTATCTGAGATTCTAATATATTTTGAGCATTTGTATTTCTTAATTTTGTTCCATATAATTATCAAATTACAGACACAAATAAATCATTCAAAAAATCGAAATTAATGATTTCTTTGTCTTGTGGAAGTTTCCCTTCAAATCTTTAGAACTGTAGCTCTGGGTAAGTTTTATCTCTTCCTTGAGCTTTGACTATGTCATTTTAAATGAACATAATGGACAAGATGACAAGAAACGTTTGTTGCAGTTTTAAATTTTAGGGACAGGCCAAACAATTAAACATATAAATATCATTTCACGATCCAATATTCGTTATGCATAAGTTAATTTATTAATATTAGAGTTCATTAGTGAATACCAGAATTAATTAATGCAACTGAGATTATGAACTTGTACCAAATTTTGTTTGGTTTTGTTTTATAAGATATGCAATAAATCAGATCTTCCAGCAGTTAACATTTTGTTGCTGATCTTTCTTGCAATACTGCCTAATGAAAAACAGCTAATTAATATGCTTCTAATAATTTACTGAACCATATCCTTGGCACTTAAAATCAACATTCACAAATAGCTGGAACCATAATGCATGGGCATGCCTGTGACTTCCAATCTTCGGGGAAGATGAGAATTGCATATAGTGTCTAATGAATTATTTATAATGGTAAGAAATGAGCTGAAACACGCACACCAGCCATGGGGAAGAGTGAACTGTGATAGCACTGGGAGCAATGGGCAAAGTCTGACTTCCAGGACTACATTTTACTTTGAAGTTCTTTGTAAGCAATCTGTGGCTTATTCAAGCTTCAGCCTTTCAGGGGAAAAAAAAACATATAGATCATTTCAATTAATTCCACCAAACTTGTATTTTCTTTTCAAAAAATGCCATTTTCCCCAATTTTCTTTGTATCTATCCACTACATTTCATGTTTTCCCTTTTCCTTACTTTTGTTATTACTGCTTTTGTTGCAATGACTGAAAAAATTGCACATGCTTATCAGCCGTGGTACTTGCTTGGGGTCATATACTTTAGTTGTGGTGCTAACACATTATTTTGTTAGGTGCAGAAGAGACCACATACTCTATTGTGCCTCTGGGGATCCCCAACATTAGCCCCCAGTAATCACACCCAGCATGTGAGGTTATGTCAAGGTGAATTCACAACTTCCCACCTACAAAGCAGGTGCTCTACCACTGAGTTAGGCCCTAGATTTTCCTATGACATTTCTTTATTTCACAATCATTTGATGGGATTTATTCTTACAATTGACAGATGGGAAAACAGTAACTTGCTCTGTGTTAGTGTTCTAGATGGACCAGTTTTGTTTTCATAATGAATATTTTTGTTTGCTTTACAATATAGAAAGCAAACCTAAAAATGAAAAAAAAAATCATATATACTGTAAATCCAAAGTTCAGTGAAGGAACAAAGAGATGGCTCAAAGGATAAGACAACATGCTTTGCATCTGTGAGTCCTAGGTTTGATCCAAATCACTGCATGATTTCCAGAGCACTGCCGGAAGTAGTCGCAGCACCACTGGGTGTGGTTCTCAAACAAAAAGCTCAGGGAGGACATAAACTAATACTCATTTTTTATGTATTCCTATAAGATCTAGCAGTTGCCATTTATCAATGCATGCATTATCCATAAAACTTATTAAGCACATTGAGAAAAAGGACCTGGTACTTATAGAAACAATAAAGATAAAGTGACACAGAGGGTAGAAAAAGTCACACTTTTGATCTGTTAAAAATTCTGGTGGCACAAAATAAATGCTTATTAAATAATAAGAGTAATTCTAAAGCTAGATATGATTTATATCCTAAGAATCACTAGCATCTCAGTATGTTGTATTTCTCAGTGTCTTCCTTCAGACTTGAATAAACATTTCATTTTGCCCACAATTAATATCTTTTTTGTTAAGTGGCTATACCCTTTTAGAACAAATTTAAAGATAATTCTAAACATTATTCAAATATGTGTGCATATATATGTTTCTCTGTATTATATAGCTCTTTCCATCTCCATTTTTCTATATCCCATTGCCTTCAGATCACTAGGAAGCTGTAATTACTAATAAATAGAAATCAGATATAGCCCCTGTCCTCAAAGTAGAGAGACAGAGTTGGAAGAAGTGGTCCCCAAAGAAGAAATAGCAGTTAGCAGCCTCGAAGCAAAATCATAAAACAGCATGTCCAGGAATTTGTCTTTATAGTTGAACAACTTCAATATATCAGTCTTTGGGGGTTAGGAAAGTTTTTAGATGGTCCTGTCAACCATACAAGAGTGCCTTAGACTTACCTGAGCACCCAGAGGAATTTATGAGAGAATTAAAAATCACATTTACAGGTTTAAAGAATTGTGGTCTGCTGAGTTTGACAGTGGGAAAAAAAAGTGGGCAAGACAGGAGATAGATTCTCCAGGGAGGAACCTACCACAATAGTACTGATTTTGGTATGGAGCCAAATCCCCCAAATTCTATAGTACTATAAACCATCAGTAAGTCAGTAAAATTTGATTTTGAGGGCGTGGAACACCAGTGGTGCTCAGTGCTTACTCCTGGTTCTGTTCTCAGGGATTATTCCTGGTGTGTCTCAGAAGATCAACAAAAGGGGTGCAAGGGATTAAACCTAGATCTGCCATGTGCAAGGCAGGCATCTTATACATTATATTATCTTTCCAACCCTGATTTTGAAAGCAGTTTAATGCTCACTTCAGCACATATACTAAAATTGGAAGGATGTAGAGAAAATTAACATTGTCCACGGGAAAGGATGAAATACAAGTTAGGAAAAAATTCTGTATTTTAAAAATAAAGGGAAGTTGATGGTGATCTCAACTAAGAAATCCTCTATGGAGAGAAATAGAGAGAGCTAGAGAGTTTCATTGATAAAATATCTGTAACACGAATTTTACAGTTTATCCAAGGAGCGATAGCACAGTGGTAGGGCGTTCGCCTTACACGCGGCCAACATGGCCGACCCGAGTTCGATTCCTCTGCCCCTCTCGGAGAGCCCAGCAAGCTACCGAGAGTATTCGATATGCCAGACACAGTAACAACAAAGTCTCCATTGGAGACGTTACTGGGCCCACTTGAGCAAATCGACGATCAACGGGAGGGCCTTTACCTTTACCTTTACCCAAGCTTAGTTATTCGGTTTTGTAGCATTAACAACATTCCAACTGTTGGGCAACAATTACTCACCACCAACTAACTTCCCAGTCTCCACTGTTTTCCCTGATGTTGTTTAACTTCAATCTTACACGTTAAAAAGTCTCCTTGAAATTATCCTAAAATGGAACATTCTTTCACTCCTCTGCAGAACTGATTGTTGCATTTTTTCTTTAGAAGGCACTTTATTTTTTAATTTTTAAAAATTTCAACTTCCTTATTTAAAAAATTATTTATTTATTGAATCACCATGAGATACACAGTTACAAAACTGTTTCTGATTGTGTTTCAGTCATAACATGTTCCAACACCCATCCTTCCACCAGTGTACATTTCCCACCACTAATGTCCTCAGTTTTCCTTCTGCCTTCTATGGTAGGCACTCCCCCTTCCCTCTCTTTCACCCCCTCCCTCCCTCTTTCTCTCCCCTTTTGGGCATTTTGTCTTGAAATACAGATACTGAGAGGTTATCATGTTTCTTTCTTTATATATGTTCTATATGCAGTTCTTATTCAGAATGATCATTTCCAGCTGCCTTTGTGATAGCTGTCTCTTCTCTATCCAGCTGTCTTCTCTCCCAGCACTTGACGCAGATTCCCAGCTGTGGACCAGTCCTTCTGGCTCTTGTTTCTTCTGTCCTTGGGTATTAGTCTCATCTGCTTTTTAAAATATCCCACAAATAAGTGCAATCATTTTTTAAAATTTTTATAAGATTGTTCATAATTTATCACATCCAATATTCTAACACCAATCCCAAAACCATTACACCTTATCACTACCATTATTTCACATTTTCCCATCACCACCCAAGCCTGCTTCCAGAGTATTTTGTGTTGCTTGTTAAGAGTAATCTGCTAAGCAGAGGTAAGGTGCCGCCAGCAGGTCAACTGTACCTGTGAGGCAAGTGCATCAGCAGCCTGATGGTACCTTCAAACTTCTAAATACCCTAAAATTGCCGCTGTGCCTTTGGCCAGACCCCAACAATATGGGGCCAAATTTGCCAAGAAAGTAAATAGCCAAAAGTTAGGTATGCGGGAGACATACCCACAAACCATCTCTGGCTCAGCTATATAATTGGAGGCAAGGCCTCTCTGGTTCTTAATCAAACTGCTTAATGGCCATGATCCCAGAGACTCAGAAACAAATCTTGGAACCCAGCGGCTTTTGGCAGAAATGTGTCTGGTTCCCACAGTAAGTTATCGGTGCCAGGTCATCCCAGGTGGGAATAGGTTTTGTGCCTTGGCCTGTTCCCACTCACAGATCGGTGGCCGTCATCCTCCAGAGGCCATTGGACAGTCAGGTTTGGGCCCCCAGTGGTGAGGTACGTGGGGCCTCATGGGCTGGGGGTCAAGCCGGTCCTTTCCTCCCACCCCAACGAGACCCTGAGTCGCCACCCAAAAATGGCCTCTCTGACTCCTGATCAAGCTCTTAATGGCCATGATTCAAGAGACTCAGAAATAAATCTCAGAAGCCAGCAGCCTTTTGCAGAAATGCATCTGGCCCCCACAGTAGGTTACTGGCACCAGGCCACCCCAGGTGGGAATAGGTTTTGTGCCTTGGCCTGTTACCCCTGGCGGCTTGGTGGCCGTCATCCTCTAGAGGCCATTGGAGGTCAGGTTTGGGCCCCCAGTGGCGAGGTACGTGGGGCCTCATGGGATGGGTGTTGAGCTGGCCGAGACCCCAGGTCACTCCCATGAATGGCCTCCCTGGCCCCTTATCATGCTGCTTAATGGCCATGATCCCAGAGACTCAGGAATAAATCTCGGAACCCAGCAGATTTTGGCAGAACTCCCTCCAGATTTAATTGTTAAAATTTCAGAGTTCCAAAATCTCGCGGCCATTACTGGCTGTGCAACATCATATATTATTCATAAACAGCAATGGAACACAAATTGTCTACAGTTTCCTTTTCAGCAGATCTGAGTGTTGGTGTAAAATCCCAAATAATAATGGTGGATCTGGTGTCTAAATATTGAATGTAATCGAAGTAGAGAGAGAGTAATGTGGAAATCATCTGCCCACAGGTAGGGGGAGAGTGTGAAATGGGGGTTATACTGGTTATTTTGGTGGTGGAAAATGGGTACTGGTGAAGGGACAGGTGTTTCATCATTGTATGAACAAGGCTTAAACCCGAAAGCTTTGTAACTGCTCTCACAGTGATTCAATAAATAAATTTATAAAAAAAGAAAAAAAAAGTAAAGTGGAGTTCATGCCCAACTTAATCATCCTAATCAGTGCCTGAATAATTAGCAATACTCCTACATTAAAAAAAAAGAGTAATCCGCTAAGAATTTTCTTTAAATAGGGGATACAGCTGAAGTTAAATGCATCTCTGCACCATGTTGCTCTATTCCGAGATTTATTTGTGAGTCTCTGGATCATAGCAATTAATGAGCTTATATGGTGCCCAGTGGCAGTCTGTGGGTATGACCACCAGGTTCCCTGGAAAAACAAGGAGATGGTGAAGGTGGCCTATTTCTGACTCTTTGCAAGATTGGAGATTTGGGTCACAAAACCCAGATACCTAAGTTTTTCAGCAGATTCATTCTTATGCATGGGGGCTCATCCTGAGCCTGTGGAGATATGCTATGAACATGGCAGCGATTGCGTTCTGCTGCAGGGGCTCTGTTGGGGCAGGTGGTGGGCTCACCCACCCAACTCTGGATTGTCCTGATGAACTCAGCCTGGTGTAGGTTTTTGAGACATCTCTGCAGCTTGCTGCTCTCTTCTAACATTTATTTCTGAGTCTCAAGTACAATCATTTTATGTCTCTCCTTCTCCATCTGACTCATTTCACTCAATATGATACTCTCCATGTCCATCCATTTACAAGAGATTTTCATGGCTTAATTTTTCCTAATAGCTGTGTGGTATTCCATTGTGTAGATGTACCATAGTTTCTTTAACCAGGCATCCATTCTCAGGCACTAGGTTGTTTCCAGATTCTGGCTAATGTGAATAGTGCTGCAAAGGACTTAGAAGTGGTTAGTATTTCTGTTGTGTATTTTTAGGCCTCAGAGTATATTACCAGAAGTGGTATTGCTGCATTGAATGGAAGCTCAATTTCTAGCTTTTAGAGGAATGCCCATATAGTCCAAAACAGCTGAATCAGCTGGTATCCCCACCAACAATGAAGGAGAGTCCCTTTCGCCCTGCATTTCTGCCAGCACTTGTTACTCTTTTTTTTTTTTTGATGAGTGCCAATCTCTGTGGTGTGAGATGATATCTCATTGTTCTGATTTACATCTCCCTGGTGATTAGTGATGATTAGGGACATAGAGGATTTTTTCATGTGTCTTTTGGTAGAAGGCACTTTAAATGCCAAACATTTACCTTTTAATGGAGGTCATAGTATAGCAATCACCTGTACCTGCTTTATTTTTCAAGATGAGTTAGTACCAGTTTTTAATTCTTATAAACCTTTTCACTCTTCTTGATATCCTTAAATACTGATTTAAAAATAAAAACAAAAAACTCAATTCTTAATTTGACTCTGTTGAAAGGTTGCATTCATCATTAAGAACCAGCCTTACAATGATACTATTGTAATATAGCCTTCGGCTGATTTCCAGGGAAGTCAATCTTGTTCAACCTGATACAGAGATCTAGGCTAGATTATTTATCACATTCTGGTATTTTATTTACTCAATAATACATTTTATTCGGTGGTATATACCCAAAACCTGACACAGGTGCCAAACAGCTCCTCAATGATTGATGTGATTTGTAGATTGAATTTTATGGTCAACATACATCAGTGTTCAAATATGCTTCTTTTTTACCCCCCTGTATAGTTTTGATATCTGCCTGTATTCATTATTCCACTTGGAAGAATTATTCCTTAAACATTTGATAACATTTCTGAAGCACCCCTTCCAGGATTTGCTAGTTGTGACAGCTGCAGAACTCAAACTCTCCATGACAACGTTGCTTGGCCATGATTCCACCTGGGATTTCTTCTATCCCAAGAATGCAAACAAGCAGGACTTGACTTCTCCATGACCCTGTGAATGGTAGAAGCAATCAACATCTGGCAGTGTTTTGTGTCGGTGATGGAGTTTTCTTGTTTCTTACTGATTCAGTGGCTGAATAAAAAACAGCAATCAAAAAACTTCTAGAAATACTTGAGCACATTTTATCAGGGGCATAATTCTATAGGCATGTTGGGCAGTTTAAATATAGAAGTTTCTACTTGGATCCACAAAAAATGAAAAAAGAATATTGGTTTGTACACCATTGTAATGGTTTCTGCTTCCTCTTTACAAAACAAATAAACAAACAAGAAAACTATCTTTTCCTGGAGTTGACCACACTGATGAATAAAATCCCTAATGAGTAAGTACATATTTATGACTCTATTACGGTAAAACCTAGAAGATTTTAATTATGCCATCTGAGAAAGCAAGAAGTGCCCATAGGGTATTACATTTTGGGATTCCGCATCCTTCCTCAGTCACAAACTGGACAGAAATTTCTTCTCTGTCAATATAAATTGATCCCTGAATTGTATTTTTCAGCTAAAAAGTAAAGGCATGGAAAAGTGCGCATGGTATACTACCAATTGCAGAAAGATAAATACATAAGGGAAAAGTTATATTTGCTTGCTTGTAGGTGTTTAAGTTTCTCTGAAGGATACT